AAATGTCCTTTTGAATAGTAGGTCAAATTAGTCCAAATGACTCCCAAAGTAATATAGACTATAGATGTAGCTTTTAGTTGCCTCTCAAGGGTTGAAGATGAGTCCCTATTGCCAAAAACACAGCACAAGTAAGACATAGGACTCTTGATTAGTCAAGATGGATCTAAGTTGTAAGAGGTCTAGCTTCCATAGTACCAGAAAATACTACGCAAGCTTTCAAGGAAGGGAAGCATTTAACAGATATACCTAGCTTTATATCAACGAACCACAACAATGACTGGAATAGCAGGATATCTGCAAAGATGCAGTAGCGACACTTATATGTTGGTGGTAGCCAACAGCTGTCTAAGTGGACTTATGTCCCATCCAACAGAAAGAAAATGATGCCTGGTACTAGAAATCTAGCCAACTCTCCAGGGCTGGTGAAGTCATTGGTCCTAGACGAAAATCTACTACTGCCACTTTGCTAGACCAGCATACTTCTAACTACATTTTTAATCTTATCTTTATACCCATGGATAAGTATAACTACCACCCCTCATCAAAGAAGCCCGATTTGTAACAAATGGGGACCATCACAGAAAGTCACAGCTGGATACACTGCAGAAACCAACAGATTGAGTGGAGTCAGCTCTGTTTCTCCTTTCTAATCACTCATACATCATCCTGTATGAGATCTATGCATATTATACATCTGTTCCCAACTTTGTCTTTGATTTACAGATGTCTATTATATGATGAGTGTGGAAATGGTGACATTGTCATTTGTTCTGATCTCTACATGTCTCAAAGATGGCTCCAAATGCTTACTCCTTAGGATCATCTAACTTTACAGTTCTTGCTTGTTTTCATATTACTTACTTCCCGATATATGTGAGTACACAAACACATGACACACACACAAACACAACACATACAATGTATGTATATTGTGTGTGTGTTTGTGTGTGTGTGTGTGTGTGTGTGTGTGACTGTTGTTTGACTTCCCAAATAGGACCTAAACTACTTAAAGTTTCAGATTTTGTTTCCTGTTGCTAATGTATGCTCAAAGGACTGCTCATGAATATCATTTGTTCCTGTTGTGGAGGAAAACATAGAAAGCCACAAAGCTAAGTGGTGTCAGTGATCTTGGGACCTGTACCTTCCATGCTCTCTGTGCCCCCCAACACACACACACACACACACACACACACACACACACACACACACACACAGCCTTCATCCCATTTACTTGGGCATCAAGAAGGAAGCAAGATTCATTTTGACATGTTTGCTGTTGGGATCCAGCCTCAGCACACCCAGAGTCCTCTGCTTCCAGTCTGACCTGCAGATCAAGGGTCAGATGTCTTCTCTCACAGTCATTGATTTTCCAACACTAACTGCTACACTGCTGCCCCCAGAATGGAGCTGTTCCAAAAAATCCCAGCCCTCTACCATTGCCCTAGATCTCCGTGGGCCACCAGAAGACAGAAGGATGACAGAGAAAAGCCTGTGGTATCCCTGATGATGAAGAAATCTCCCAAATCATAAGGCCAGCTGTTAACAAGAATGACAGTCAACAAAGGAGGAATCATAGAAACAGATGCCCCAAGCTCTCTGCTGTGTGGTTGTGAAAGGGATCAGGTGCCAGGGTACACAATTCACCCTTTGCTTCCCTGAGAAAGCTGACAGACTGAAGACATAATGGAGGCTGACAAGAGTGGAGATCTTCACATCCCCAAAGTGTTAAAGACCCCAAAGAGCCCTAGTGAAGAGAAGGCCCTCAACTAAGAGGAAGGGAGAAGGGGGATGGGAGATAAAAAGAAGTTGCATTGCTGGGTTCTCACCAGGCAAGCTGGTTTCTATTTAAAATATAAAAGAGGAGAAACATGGGTATGACAACAATGTCTGTTGTGACTGTTTTAATTAGAGAAAAATCAATAATATGTGTTATGGATGAAAGATGGTTTGGCCATGTTTACTCCCACCGTCTGTTGCTCGTAAACACGCATGCACAGAACTGTCAGATCATCTTGTACAGGCTCCATGCCATTTATCAATAGGCCAGCTAGGGAGGGGGAGGAGGGGCGAGAGCTCTCACTAGGGTGGGAGGGGATCTGAAGTACATGGAGTCTGGGAGAAGCCAAATGTCTTTCCTGCCACCCACTGGGAGCCTCTTTTTTCATTTCCTTCTGCTCCCACTTTAAAGGGGTAACAGAAAGAGAAGGATGGCTGGGAGTGAGGGTAGGATGACTTGCAGACAGAAGAAGAAAATGGGAACAGAAAATAACAGGAGTAAAAAGGACAAAACCAATCCAAACTCATAGATGGGACAACAATGCCAAAACACATAGCAGCCTGCCACTGCCTAGACCATTTTGGAGCTCAAAGCAAGCAACTTTGGATGAAAGAGGCCATTTATTTATTCATGAAAAGTGAAATTATTGTTGATTCTTATTTCCTGTTTTCGCAACTGTTTCTCAAATTCCTTTTTTTAAACTACACTATGCACGTGTTGCTTATGTTAAAGAGAAGGGGTCTGAAGAATCTGACTCTGCTTTCCTAGGTAGTTCTCAGAACTCCTGTGCCTCTGTTGGCCATCCACGGGATGAGGATAATTGTGCCAAGAGGCAGGACAGAAGGATTACAAATGCAAAGCTAGCACAGGCTACAAAGTGAGTTCAAGACTCACCCGGGAATTTTAATGAGGCCTCATCTCAAGATAAAAAGTAAAGAGAGGGCTGAGAATGTATCTGAGCAGTAGACAGCTCAGACACTGCATAAAGGCCTGGGCCCAATCCCCAGAAAAAAAACCACATAAATGGAAGGTGACAGTATGATACTAGAGATCATGAACTTGAAATGTATTCAGGTTTAAGGCATAGAGACTTAGCTGGGGAATAGAGCTAGTGGGAATCTGGATCTGAATCACAAAAGCTCATGAAGAAAGCTGGTGGGAAGTTGGAAGACTCAGCCTTCCTGATTTAAAACCTAACACAAAAGCTACTATGATTTCAGTAAATATGGTGATGTGACAGACACATGGGCTAGAGTTTATAAGTCTGTATCTTTGGCCAACTGATACAGCACCTTTTGACAAAAGGGTGCTATTCAATAAGGGAAACGGTGGATGTTTGGTCACTGCAGGTTGCTGGGGCAGTGAGCTAACCACGAGCAACAGAATGAGTTGGAGTTCACCTTAGAGTGTGGAAAGAATTTTTAACTCTAAGTGGATTAAAGACACACATAAGAGCTAAGCTTATAAAGCTATTGGGAAAAAGCACATGGGTAATCATGAATTTGGATTTGGAAATTTGTTCTCAACTACATCCTAAAAGTGGGAGCAAAACTATTCCACACAGAGCAGACTGAGTCAGAGCTAAGATGGGTTGGCTATCACAGGACGTTGTCAGAAAGGTGGAAACTCAAACTGCAGCATGGAAGTAAAATCCCATGTGTGGTAAGAGTCCAGGCTCCCAGGACACATGCGAACCCTTGTAACTCAACTACAAGAAAAGCAAAGAATCAAATTAATAATAGGACTTAAAAAGATATTTACCCCCAAAATCATCCTTAATGTTCAATCAGCTCAGGAGATCATTAGGCATCTGGGAAATAAAAATCAAAACTCAGTGAGATGTCATTTCACACCTACTAACATGACTAGAATGATATTTTTTCCCGTGAAAAATAACAAATGCTACTGAGGCTATCGAGAAATGGGAACTTCTATGCATTGGTTATGGGAATATAAAATGGTGCATTCGCAAGCTGTGGGCAAGTTTGGCAGCTCCTCAAAAGGTAAAACACAGAATCATCACACGACCCAGCAATTCTGCTCACAGAACTGGCAACGGGTGCACAAACAAACGTGTTCACGGATGTCTCATAGAAGAGCATCCACAGTAGCTAACCCACATGTTCAGTGATGGGTGACTGGATGAAAAAAAAAAGATGCACATATGCAATGGAATTGAGACACTGAAGAGAGAGAAGCAAAATTAATAGTACACAATGGGGTATGACTCTACCACTGTCAGAGTGACTAGCAACATGGATGACTCCCGAGGAGCAGAGAGTGGGTTAATCTTTAAGTGGGCTGTGGAGAAGGAGAAATGCAATTAACTGCTTCATGAAAATGTTTTGGAATAACATACACATTGTGGTTGTACAATACTGCCACTGTGCTACTTGTATTTGATTCGTTCACTTTCGAATTAGTAATTCCAGCAGTCGATGGTGGGACATACCTATAATTCTGGTGCTTAGCAGGCTGATGCAGGAGGATCAGAAAACAGCCACACAAAACCCACCAACCAAGAAAGCAAAGATAAAGTGCTCCCCAGACCTACAGATAGCTCAGTGCCAGAGGGCTTGCCTAGCGTGCATGAGGTCCTGGGTTTGAGTCCTAGCACCACATAAAACAGTTAATGTTATGGGAATTTTGCTTCATAAAACCTAGTTAATTTAGAATCAATTTGAAAAGTAATTAGAGACACCACAAACGCGTAGGGGGAGGGAGCAAGGAAGATGACAGTTAGTGGTGGAAGTGGACATGGACTCAGACCTTAGTTCTTCATGGAGGTGAGCAGTTTCTCTGAGGTCTTCCCTTGATAGCTCTCTCGTGTGGGGAAGTCCCCACAGGACTTCCTCTCTGAGCCAGCATCCCCCCCTTTACACTAGCCTGCCTTTGGGCTATCAAAGCACAGATGCAGTCTTGAAAATGGGAGGGACACAGGGAATCGCTTTCTCATAATGGTTGAAATCACTGGAGCCTGCAGGACTGAGGAAAAGCGCCAAGACTGCAGACTAAGGAGCAGAGAGCTGGGTTTTTAGCATCGTGATTACAGTATTGGTGTTTTCAAAGAATCTTTTTTTTGTTAAAGCCACATACACCTTAGCAGTTTCTGTTAGTACAGAACTCCCCCCACCCCACCCCCCACATCTTCCAGCTTGGTTGTTATAGAAACAGTTCTATACAGAACTAGGAACTATAGAAATAGTTCTGCTTGGTAACATGTGCCTCAAGCAATACACAGGCATTTCTGGCTCTAGATCTTGAAGTTCACAACCATTTCCACAGCTGCCTCGGTGCCCAGCATGCTAAGGATGTCGACTAGGCAGCCTTCCTACTGCTCAGAAAATTTCACTCCTGCAGCTTCTTGGCTGGTTTTGAGGAATCGCTATGTGAGGTGAGTGAACTCCTCGGTGTGTTGGTATTTAAACTGTGGTCAGACGGTTAAAAAAAAAAGAGATGAAAAGACGGTTTAGTTCATAAAGGACGGTCATGAACGGCCGCCTTCTTGTGTTCCCTAGTAGGACACGACACAGATCTGCTGCTACTAACAATAAAAATAGAGGGGCTGAGGATTGTTGTTTTAAGGCTGCTGTCCTGGGGAAAACAAAACACATTAAATGAGAAAGATGCTTGAGACAATGTGGTGAGTTTGTTCCAAAAAAACATTTGGGTCCTTTCTCTGGGAAAGAGGGTTAAAAGGTTGTCAGGGCCTTCTCCTGGGCTCTGGCTGACAGTGAACATGTGTTTCCTCCCTCTACCCGACTCGCCAGTAGCCAGAACACTGCTTTTTCTGCAGACGTTGTCAAAAACAATTTCAGTCTGGAGACGATGAATGATAAAAGAGGTTTTCAAACAGTTTTTCACTGTAGCATTTGCAGCCCTAGAGAGGAAAGATTGTATTACAAGCCGGGTGCAAAGGGCTATGTTCCCCTGGAAGAACACAAAGCCTCCTTCAACCTTTTTGATGCTTTCTGGTGTCCCAGGGACCTGGAGGACACAGGGCAATAGACCCAATTAAGTGGATGCCCCAGAAAAGCAGGGCGGGGAGGGCACAGCGTGTTGAGGAGAACACCCCGAAGCCTCACCAATGGCTCTTTTAATCCACTGGCCACTTGTCTGCTTCTGTTTTGGAGCAACTGTCAGGGCCAAGGGCAGGACAGACTTCAGAGCTGGTACAGCAAGAGCAGCAGCAGCCACAGGCGATCGGTTTCTCGGTGACTACGCTGCTGTGCCGCGTGGAGTCTGCCTTTTCCAGAGCAGCACAGGATGGCGCATTGCCAGCGCTATGTCCTCCCCTGTGTTTATGGACATCCCAAGGCATTCTTGGGATTTATGCATGGAAAACTCAAAACGTAAGTGAGACGTGGTAGCCACACCTATAATCCCAGTGCTTGGAAGGCTGAGATAAGAAATAAGATCTGGATGTTCAAGGTCATTTGCAGCCACATAGAAAGTTCTTGGCCTGTCAGATCCTGTCAGAAAGAGACAGCGTGGCTGGAAGTGAGGGGGGACAAGAGGAGGAAAGGAGGGAGAAGCCAGGTGGTGACAGATGCCTTTAATCGCAGCATTAGGAGGCAGGGGCAGAGCCAAGTGGGTCTCTGAGTTCAAGACCAGCCTGGTCTACAGTTCCAGGACAGTTAGGACTACACAGAGAAACTCGGTCTCCAAAGAAGAAGGAGGAGGAGAAGGAGAAGGAAGAGGGAGAGGAGGAGGAGGAGGAGGAGGAGGAGGAGGAGGAAGAAGAAGAGAGAAGGAAGGAAAGAAGGAAGGAAGGAAAAGAGAAAAGAAAGACAAAATGAAAAGGAAAAGGGGTGGGGTGAGGTGGGGAGGAAGGAAGGAAGGAAGGAAGGAAGGAAGGAAGGAAGGAAGGAAGGAAGGAAGGAAGGAAGGAAGGAAAATTCAGCAGTTTGAGTATTACCTTTCCATACCATCACTTAGGTGCCCACAGAAAAGCGAGGCTCACTGCTCTCTGGCGGTCCCATTTTCTCAAGAGGGGAAAAGTAAAAAGCCACAGTCGTCTGAGCTCAGAAGCTCACTGCAGGGCCTCCCCAACTTACCGCTTCATTATTTCATTGACTCCGCTTCTGGGAAGCCATATCAGAACGGTGATAAACTAAGGAATTATTTCCATTTTGGGCATAAAATTATACTTGTTACTTTACAGATACTCAGGAAGACTCCTTGCAGGGTTACACCTTGGCCAAAAGAAAAACACAGAGAGTGTATATAATTTATTTCGCAAAACCAAAATCTGATGTATCTGCAGCTTTTCAGGAACACATCAGTGACGTAAATCAAGATGCTAGGTACAGCTTCCCTTAAGAACATTGTGTACACTCCTAAACTGAAAAAGAAACACCCAGACAAAGAGTTTTCTAGAACCTAAGGCTGAAAACATGCTTCCACAGAAGGTTTTTATTATTATCTTCTTAATGATATACATGAACGGATTTAAATCTCTTCCCTCTGCCTGCACAGCCAGATTCCATAACATCTCTGAAGCCATCACTTGTATTTCTTTCTTTATTATTTCTGACAATACTTAAAATATTTTTAGCTCAGAATGGCAAACATTTCTGCCCCTGTAGGAAGACGAAAGTGACAGGTGACAACTGTGTCCAGTAACCCCAAGATCAAGGCGAGAGGAGACTTGGGCAAGCTGACTCCTAAGCTGGTTTTTGCATCTGATTCTAATTTCTTTTCTAGCTATAGGGTGTTATCACCACACAATTCATTTTCTGACCGTAATCAGGAAAGAAGTGTGGATAGGGAATGCCAGGCACTATCCAACAGGTGTATGGGGTGAGTGGGGTCATGCTGCAAAAAATGACCCCAGACCCAGCCCTTAGACATACTGCTGTTTCCAGGGTTCACTGTCTAAACCAATGACACGTGTCATGGGCTGATGAATATGACAGCCACAGGGAAGGACAAACTTTCAGCCACTAATGTCCTCTTTAAAGTCTGAGCTGATGATCCCATGCCAACATATTTGGCCAATGTCAGAGCGTTTTGTCTAAGTGGGCTCAATCAACTGTTTTCATCCTATTCTAGTTCATAATCCTATTCAGTATAGAGTGTGCTGCAGCCTAATGAATGTGGTAATGGAATCCTTGTGTGTGTTTTTCCACAGCAGGGCGCAGATTAGCATAAGTGTCACATTCTGTGGGCTTGCCCGCTCATTTCTCAGGCATTGCTTATGCTGGGGATTTCTCAACTGGATAATAAGAGGAATATGGCCTACACATGCGGAGCGGGCACAGTTTTCTGCAGGCAGTGTGGAATAAATCTCACCTGGAGGTAAGCTATGATAGATTAGCTTTGTACCTTTGCTTTAAAATGCAATATTTCACCCCAAGGATCCTGTAATCTGAGAAAAGAAGAATTGGATTGAATTTCATGCAGAGTTTCAAAGAACACTGTCAACTTTGACCACTGGGTTGAGGAATTCTCCACCATTCTCCCAGATTTTCACACTCATGAGATGAGTTCAAAGCTCCGGTTACCAACCAAGATTAGAAGTAATAGAGGTTTTGTTCTCAGAGATGCAAATAGAAGAGGTGGGAGGCTGAAGAAACTCACCCTGCTTCCCCTCTGCTTGAAGAACCCTCACATAGATTCAAAATGGTGAGGCAAACCTTCAGGGAAGATTCCCCCACAGTGCCTTTTCCGAATCCTCACATAGATTCAAAATGGTGAGGCAAACCTTCAGGGAATATTCCCTTCATTTTCCCTTCCATCCTTAGGAGAGCATGCCTTCACTAAACACTAAGGATGTCATTTGGAAGTTTCCTCAGAAGATGGCAGTTAAGCATCCACCGCACTTCGCATTTCTAGAGAACTATTGTTGACTTTCAGATTCCAAATTTTACAACAGCCAAGCTATTTGGAACAAACCCGTGTTTGTCCACAGACCTGACCCATTCAAAACGGAATAACAGCTCTAGTTCGCATTTTTTTAATCTCTCACTTTCTGCTCTGTTGGAGAAATTATGTCTAAGACTGAAATGATATTTAGAAATAAAGCTGTTTGTCAAGTGTGTGTGTGACAACCAAACTGGTGGGTCATTACCTTTAGCACCGACACATGCCTCTCTAATCATCTTAGCTCGATGTTGAAACTTCACTGTAGCCAGGAACGGAGGGTCATGAATTTGTTTGATCTGGTTCCAACCTGGGCAGAGAAGGTTTGGGAAAGCCAGTCACTCTCCTGTGGGGTCAGAACAGGGGAAGGATGCACACTGTATAAAACCTTGCAAAAGATACATACAGACGGCAGGCCCTTGCCTCCATAGCGACCTGTCTGGAGGAGTCATCCCACAGAACTAGCGAAATGAGCTAGTGAACTGGCAAAGCATCTGCAGAAAACAGCCATGCTGGAAACTATGGCCCACCCTATGTCCCGCCTCTCTTCATGTCATCACCCATGCCATCCTACACGACAGAGGGACACGGGGTGGCAAATGTATTTAAACTCTGATGAAAAGCGCTGTTAAGTCGATCTTGGTAACTTAACTGAAACAGTATATGTGTAAATCCATCGAAAATCCCTGGCCTTTTACAACTCCTGTCCCAGTGGAAATCAGATCACAGGTCTGTTTACAAGAAACCACAATCATTTGGATAAAGACCCATGACAGCGAGGCACAGCATTATTTGAAATTTTAGTAACCTAAGCTTTAGAAATATTCTAAAAGCAAAATAACAAGGGAGAGGTAATTGCCATGAGCTAATTACTTACAATATTCCATATATATATAATCGGAGAATAATCTCTGTAAATGTTAGCCCATGGCACTTTGGCAATCACTTGTAATTTTTATTGTTTAAAGAAATGTCAACATTTCCATTTCCGCCAACTTCACTTAACCTGGGCCCCTGCACATAGCTGCTCCCGGCCACCAGATGAGAACCCTTTATGCTATTGTCTCAGAATGCTTCATCCTTTTGAGGGTGAGCAAGTCTTGATCTCAGTTGAGTTACAAACAGTGGTGGTTTTAAAAGTAAAAAGCAAAAAGTGTACACAGAATAACGGAAGGCTAAAATGAAAGGTGGCACCCATGTACAAGCTTTCCTGAACAAGAAGGTTTCCACTCACATTTCAGTCAGTCCACGAGGGGCGTGGGTGAGACCTTTGAGAGATTGCTGGTTTGATCCCTTTTCTCTTCCTCCAGCCACTTACAGATAATGCCTGTGAAGAAGCAAGTTCCACGGGAGACAGCTCAGCTACCTTTGCAGAAGGAGGCAAGAGGACGGTGGGCTGCTAACACAGGCTGCTGCACCAGCGCGAGCTGGGAGACGAAGCTCTGGGAAGCCCATCCCAGCAGCGGAGCATTTTCTTGGCTCCCTCTTCTCCTTACGCTTGTCTGTACTTCGGGGAGAGTCAAGTAATTACCTTCCCTGTCTTCTTTAGGGTGCGCTTTCCCTGGAGAGTGTCTCTAAGCAAGGTATGTTCCAGTACCGCCGATGCTTAGAAAGATAGGCACCCAGAGGCAAGGCCTGCATGCCTGCCGCTGTGGAGAAGGAGCCAAAGCATGGAGAGGAACAGAGAAGTCTGGAGCGTGCGGCACCCCCCACACTGGAGCCTCCTTCTGCAAGGCCAAATGAAAGACAGCCAGAGTAGAGGGAGCACTGCGCAGGACTGTAGCAAGAGGACTATCACAGGAGGACCATCGAGGCACAATGGGATGTGTCTAGTAAGGTAAGGTTAAGGTCGTGGGAACCCATTCGGCTACTGACCTACCCTGGACCCTTGAGTTTTCCAATTGGGTGAATGGCCTCTTTGATGTCTTCTTTCCCATTTGTGAGTATTAGACCCCATAAACAAAACAGACCTCATCCTTAAACTGGATAATGGTTTTTTGGTTTTGTTTTTTTTTTTTGTTTTTTTGTTTTTTTGTTTTTTTTTGGTAAGGGGCTTCAGAGGAGGAAAATGTGGAGTCTAGAAGGAAGAACGAGAAGAAAATGAGGGAAAGGCTGTCAGTAGATAGAGTGAGGGTGTGACAAACTTTGTACTAGCAAACCCTTGCCTGATGGCAGTTCAACAGGGAATGTCTGAAGATTGCCTAAAAAAGGAAGGCATCAACATTTGCCTGATAGAACCAGACCGAAACTAGACACATATTGAAGATTCAAGGGGCATTACATTAAATTATGTGATTACAAGATTAATCCAGGGCCATGTTCAAGCTATTCTTTAGCATTGTGAAGATAAAGCAATATTCTATAAAAACTTTATGCTTCTTTTTAAAAAAAATGGAGTTTAGCTTCTGAAGGGAAGATGTGGGTTGAGTCTGGAAGCCTGACTAAGGTTGGTGAGGGAATGAAGAAAGGACACGCGCGCGCACACACACACACACACATACAGAAAAGCGGGGTGGGGTGGGCTGTGTGCCCTCTGATGGAGTGGCCCGAACTACTGTGCAACCCGGAACCTCTGCACGTTTATTATGAACAGAACAGGTGGCGGGTGGCAGGGCAGTTAGTCTCAGTAAGTAGTAGGTCTTCGTAGGTGCCCAGACTCAGGTTGAAAGCATCTAGGGAAGAGGAAGTGGCCAGTGCTAGTTTGTGCACACACAGCCAACATTCACACTCAGACCAGGGAAAGGTTTTGTCAATTCCGAGCTAGACCCATATGGAGAAAATTCTGCCACCCATGGGTTGAGATTGGTTCTTGACATGGCTGGCTCATGTTAAATAATAAACTTTCATTCAGTAAAGACTTGACCCACTCCCTACAATGCCATTCTCTGGAACACTGAGAATGAATCCCTTAACACTACACTATCTTTACAAAATAGGATTCCTTTCCCCTTTGAGAAATCTGTACTGAGTCCAGCTCAGGTGAGATCAATTTTACTCTGTGGGTGAGACCCACAGCTGAGTGAAAACCACCTAAGGCAGTGGTCTGGAACAAACACAGGAGAAACCCTGAAGAGAACATGAAGCCCCTGCATGATCTTCCTCCATAGCCTCTGACGACAGAATGGTGGAGAAAACCAAATACTGCCATTGTGATAAAAGAAATGTTGATAAAATTACTTCTGACAAGATCCCGCTATGCCCATGGACCAGTGCCTTGATCAGCCATCGTCAGAGGAGCTTCCTCCGATAACAGAGGGAACACACAGACGTACAGCCAGACAATGTGCAATGAGTGAGACTCCTCAAAACAGCCCTACCATGGGTGTCTCCATCAAATCCCTCCCCTCAGCGCCCAGGGAACTCCGCAGAGGAGGAGGTGGGACGATAGCCAGTGGGGATGGAAGACACCACGGAAACAAAACCTTCTAGACACAAAGGGGCCGGTGCACATCTGAACTCACAGAGCCTGTACAGAGCCTGTGGCAGCGCACACAATACCCACACAGGTCTGTACCAGATGGGGTGCCGGTGCTGAGGGAAGCAGACGCGGCCCCCATCCCCAGATTAGAAGCTATTTCAGGTGATAACCTCTTGCAAAGGAAAACTTACATTTCCAACAAAGTCTCACTGGGTGCCCTTAAGAGTAGACCCCATGCCCAGCTGTAGATAGCCAACACAAAATGAACTAAATAGAGCTTTTGTTTTGTTTTTGTCTTACATGCTTTTTGGTGTATTCTTTTAACTTTACAGGTATTTGCTTTTATATTATGGTTTTCTGTTTTCATGCATTTTACTTTGGCTCTTTTTTCTGTTTGTTTTTATTTTATTAGTTTTATATGTCTGTATTCTAATGACAGAGAGAAAGAAAAGGGTATGATTCTGGGGAGGAGCTGGGGTAGTGGAAACCAAAATCAGAAAATATTGTATAAAAAATACTTAAAATTGAAAAAAGAGTTTTAAAAATTAAAAGTAAAAGACAAAGAAGACCAAGAAACAAACAAACAAACAAAGCTGATATCAATGCTAACTAGAATATAGGCAAGAAGGAACCCTTATATACTACTGGTGAGAATATGAGACTTCAGCTACAATGGAAATCAGTACGGCGGTTCCTCAAAAAGCTGAAAAAAGATCTACCATGTGGCCCAGCTATAAAACTCCTGAGCATTAGCCCAAAGGACTCCAGATCAATACATAGCAGACATACATGCATCCAAGTGTTTTCTGTAGCAGCATCCACAGTAGCTAGACAGTGGAGCTACCCTAAGTCTCCAGCAACAGAGAACTGGATAAGCAAAGTCACACATATATGCAAACACACACGCGTGCAAGGGCGCACACACACACACACACAATGGTGTTTCCTTTCAACCACTGAAAAGAACGAAGTGATGTCATTTGCAGGAAAACGGATGCAACTGCAGATATTCATATTAAGCAAAAATAAGCCATTGCAGAAAGACAGATACCTTGTTTTCTCTCACTTGTGATTTCCATGTTTTCTGTAGATATGACGTTTGTACGCACTTGTGACATGAAAGCATAAGGGAAACTCTTAGGAGACTAAGAGGAGGAGGTGTGAGAAAGGAAGAAAGACGGGCGTGGTGAGGAGACCAGCTGTGTCTGCAGTGTGAACTTGTCTAAGTGTGTTTATGTGACGAAATAGCATGTGCAATGAAAACACGCGATGAAAAGGGCTTTTTTTTAAGAGGCAAAAATTGACATGCTAATGAGGATACAGAAAACGGGAGCTCTCCTGGGCTGGAGAGCTGGCTCCGTGCTTTAGAAGGACCTGGGTTTGACTCCCAGCATCCACGTGGAGGCTCCCCACTTCCGTAGGCTACAGGCGTGTGTTTGATGCATGGACACGCATGCAGGCAAAGCACTCGTATGAATAAAATTAATCTAAAAACAAAGGAAAAGGGAAACTCTCACACACTGTTGGTAGGGATGTAAGTTAGCACACCCATTCTGTAAAATAGAATGGAGGTTTCTCAAAAATAGAAACACAAAAATGACTCAGCAGCACCACTGCTAGGTGGTGCGGATTTTTAAAAAATGAAAATTAGTACATATTGAAAACCACCTGCACACCTATTTTCAGCACTGTTCACAAAACTAAGATATGGGGTCAACCTAGGTCTCCAATGACAAATGAATGAAGAGCAATTTGTTCATAAATAGAATGACATATTTTCAGCCATGAAAGAAGATGGAATCCTGGGTGAATTAGAGAACCTGCTACACCACATAGGCCAATTGCAGATGGGAGGCAAATAAATTTATGTAGATGGAGAGAGCTTTGAAATGGTAGGAACTGAGGAGGGGAGAGAAGGGATAGTTTACGGGCATGAAACTACAAGCTAAATGGGAAGAGTATTTCCAGTGTCCTACAGCAAGGTGGACTGGCCGTCATTCACTATTTTTATTGAATTAAAAAAAAGCACTATAAAGGATTTTTGGTGTTCCCATCTCAAGATAAAACAGATA